TGCATAGAAATAGCTCTACGGTAACGTATCTTAAAATTCGTCCGAACTTCTCCTTTTCAATTTCGTAAACCCCATGACGTCGAAGGCCGATTCTCTTGAATTTTTCAAAACGAACTCGTCAGTCTATTGCAATCTAATCTAGCCTATCTTAAAGTAGACAGTTGCAGCTTTCATTTAAGCTAAGTTATATAGAAACAGCCCCGCTAGGACGTATCTCGAAATTCATTCGAACCATCGTCTTTGAACTCGTGTAATTTTCCTCGTTTCGTCCTAGCTGCCAGAGGTCCGCGGTCGGACATATTTATTACACAACCTAAGAATTTCTTTACCTAACGAACAAGGACTCTAGCAAGCAATACAAGAAGCTAAGGCAATGATCGATCCTGCATTTGCTGAACAGAATCGGCAAACCCGTAGAACAAACAGTTCCAATCAAAAAAATTGTGCGAGAGAAAAATAGATAAAGTATAGTAATTTCTCCTTAAAATTCGCGCTTAGATTGCGCAGAAAAATGGGCAATTTGGGAAGAGAAAATGCGATTATTCGAGCTTTGGGTCTTGTTTTTATAGTTGGTGACAATTGATAACTATAAAATCGAGCGGCAAGGCTCGAATAATCGCATCTCCTCTTCCCAAATTGTCCATTTTTCTGCGCAATCTGAGCGCGAATTAGGGAGAAATTACTGCATTATTAGTTCCGTTCACGCGAATTGTTTCTCTACAGATCAGAATATTAGAAAATTCGCGTCGCCTGTTCCCAACATTTTATAAAAAGACGACGAACGTGCTACCAATTGTTGTCAATATCCGCATTTTGCGTTTCAACGTTTCGCTCGGTCTATAAATGCAGAGAGAATCGCAGTCCGTTGAAAATGAATCGTTCGTCTTCTCGATTCACTTTTATATGCTTCCCAATAACCGTTTCACCGGCGTCTCGGCGCAATCTGTGCGCGAATTAGGCAGAAATTACTATACTTCATACTCTCGAAAGGATTCGCATCCAACGAAACAAAACTACAAGCACAAGCAAATACGGTAGAATCTCTCGGCCGTCTGCAGCCTTCCTCTATCACCCGCGAATAGCATCGCAGTTTCTGCATAAGCAACCACGGATCATTGCTATTCAAAGATTCCCCGGATTCCCGAGGAACGTCCGTCGTCTCTCGATCAGCCGGCAACGACGAACGGCGAGACGCGTGTCACCGAACCGGATACTCGATCGAAAGTTGCGAATACCCGACGAATACCAAGAGACCTGCATATGGTTTTGCGGGTTGGATACACGCGCGCACGTTTATCGCGACGATACGAACGGCGACGATCCGCGGCGATCGAAATCGCGGAATTCTGCGGACCGGCGAGCCTGAGGAACCGCGCGCGATTTCTTCCGGGCTCGCGCGCGTTGCTCGTTCCACGAAACTATCCCCCGCGGCTGATTCCTTATCGCCAGGTTGGCACGTCTCGAATATGGCAGTGACCGGCGACGAAACGACGTTCGTTGCTATCGGCGCGGCTGGGTCGGGACAGTCGTAAAATCGAACGCGCCGCGCCGGGCTGCGATTCCGATCGAGTTACCGTTATCCGGCGTTCGATTCGGTGATCCTCGATCGGGAAAAACGGCGCCAACGTCGACGCGTCTGTCCCGCGGAACGACGTTTCTCACCGTTCGCCGAGCCAGCTTCGATCACGGTTTTACCTGTCCGGCGCCGATCGGCTCGCACCTTCTCTCCGCGGGCTCCTGTCTGCGTTGAAGAGAGATCGCGTCGCGCCGAATGCGATTTTCAGCGGTTCTCGGGCCGATCCACGGGGCAGATGATCCCAGGACAAGACCTCCGCCGATGATGATGATGGAACCAATTAGGGGTTCGTTCGCTCGGGGCACGATCTCTCTCCGCGTTCGTCTCGGTGGCGGTGTCGCACCGATTCGGCGCGAGCAACGAACGAGAACTCTGCGGGACGAGCCGGAGGACTGACCGTCCGACCGAATTCGCGTGACGATTTCTCGCGAGGTTTTTCCACGTCGTCGGGTTCGAGCGCCGATACCCGCCGCGACGGCTCAAAATGAATGAGGTCGACAGTGATAAATATTAAGTAACTGCGCATACGCGACTGCGTTACGTGGGCAGCCGATCGGTTTCGCGCGAGAAAACTGGCGGCCGCCGCGGCTGGCGGCGGGTTTTCCGTCCGCGGAATTTCTGCGGGCGGGTCTTGCGGAAGAGTGGCACTTACGTTTTAACGGCACACGAGATCCTTTCGATCCGGGCGACGATCCCTGTGTTCCGGGTTGTCTCCTTCCTCTCTTAATTCCTCTCGCGACGTCACCTCGCGGCCCCCTTTTCCGATCGCGCTGACTGCAACAGGTTGTCGGGCGCGTTCCCGCCGACCGATTTTCTCCCTCGTCCCGATGCTTTTTCGAACAAAACACTCTCTCGATCTCCTCCTCTCTGGCTGTCGTCGGGGCTCGAGCCGATGCCGGGACCGCCGCGCACCACGAACCGTTAAACGTCGCGAAACGTAGACTAAACTCTGAGGACGAAAAAAAGGGAAACGCGCGGATCCTGGTGTAGGCCCCGGGGTGGCTGTGCGAGCAAGCGAGCTGACCGGAGGAGTCTGGCGATGAAAAAGCGAGGTTCAGCTACATCCGAACTGTTCGGGGGTTCGGAGACAACTGAGCCTACCGGCGGACTTTGGAATCGGTGAGCGGTTCGTTCGGTTCGCCGACTCAACTTCTCGAGTTCGAGCCTGTCGCGATCGTTGTTTTCTCTGTCTCTCAATACACGGTACACACCAAGTGCACGGTACACGCGGCGCGTTCTACCTTCGCGACGAGCTCCTGCTTCTGTTCCTCCTGTTCTCCTTCTGCTCCTTTTGTTCCTTCTGCCCGTGGCTTTTCTGTATTACCAGCCTCGCCTCGCCTCGTCTCACCGCGTCTCGCCTCGTCTCGCCTCGCCTTGCCTCAGCTTCGCCTCGCCTCGTCGCACGCGGCAGCTTCTACCTGAACGCACCACCGGCCACGCATGCACGCACGTGAGTGTCTCGTGACTTTTGTCCCCCGGGACCCCCGGACCGGCGAAAATCGTCCCGTGGCGGTCACCCCGTGGAATTCCAACCCCCGCGGCATACCTCGCTCTCTACCTGCCGGGAACTACAGTTTTTATCGTTTCGGTGCCGGAACCTTTTCGTTGCACCCCGTTGCGCCATTAAAGGATCCTGCAAGGGTCGGGGATGCGTAGCGCAATCCTCTTGTCCCGACAGATGTAAACAATAATGGACAATTTCAGGGGTGGAGACACGAGATCACTCGAGCCCCCTGCGAGACCTGGTTTTTATCATTTGCGACGATCAGCGACTGCGAAAATGAGCCGCCAGGCTCGGATAATCGTGGACTCCTTTTCCCGAATTGTTCATTTTTGCTCGACAGCTAAAAGACGATTGCAGAGAATTTGCCGTGCTTTGAGAATGAAGTGTACCTAGAAGTTTCTTTCTAGAAATATTTTGATAATATCGGAAACTATGAAAGGGAAAAATTGGGATCATTTTTGTTTTTGACAGCTGAGGAAGGATTAGGGAGAATTTACTGTGGACATTATTGTGCTGTATTTGAAATTGTCGTTGGAAAAAACGTTGGAAACGCGCGTGACCGAGTTAAAAGAATGATCATTTTCGTACGGTGTTTGCTACTGTGCAAGCGGGCGAAGTTGAAAATCGTAAGGGAAACGAAAGATCTGCGAGAGCTGAAGGAAAAGGAGCGGACGACGGGGCTGAATTTGAGGGAAATTAGCCGGAAGATGGTGAAACGATGCGATATTGTCGATGTTAAATTTCGAAGCGAGAAGTTCCAGCGTGTAAGTCCGGTGTGGAATGTTCGACTTGTTTACAACAGTGTTTAGCATACGAGATACGTATGCTAAACCGAAGTGTTTAAAACGACATAGAAAGCTTCGGGATCGCGCCGGTAAAATTGCAAAATGATTCAGCAACATGCTGCACTTGATATATTTATTAAATGTTTAAACGCCGTCGACGGACGGAAAAACGTTTCGAGGCGTTGCAGCTGAAAACGATTTAACTGAATGCTAATATCGGATAATATGTAAAAATTAGAAATTATTTAACGCTTTCGCGTGAGCGTCGTGGTCGTTCAATTATTCTCAAGATTGCACCGATACAAATCTTGAGGATTTTTGTCCTCGCTGTGAAACCGTTTCGAACGATTCCGTTTGATTGTCGATATCAGTTCGTAGCATAATAATTGATATAATAATATTTGATATACGCGGTCGGCCAGCATCGTTACTTATTTCTTACAAAATATCAGATCGCGAACGATCTTTGCACATTTTGGTTCTGCAAGTATTTTTGCTTCTCACAAGTATTCTTCGCCGCTATCTTGGCTGCTTTGTAATTCTTCTATGAAGTAATCGATGCCTTTAGAGCCGATAAATTGAAGTCATAAACGGCGAGGATCACGTTTACAACACCGATACTTTAAATGATTATTTATCATCGTCCACGCCTCGAGATTGATATCGAAGAATCATTTTTATTCCGATAAAGACATTATTTCCCGGAAATAATATTTGTTGCAAATAAAAATATTTTACGTACACGTTCCTACGAGCCGGACATTTTTATCCATATTTCTCGCAGCTGTGTACTTCAATTTCTTCTGTCGCTTTTTATTGTGTTCTGCCTTCGCGGCTCCTACCATTTACTATCGTGTATCCTTCCACCATCGATTGACATTCGACGCACGCTAAGCTTCATTTAATTATACCTCGCCCATCGGCCATAATCGTAATTTAATTCCAATTCTTCCTTCTTATCATTACATCTTATAAATATTAAAATGTACACCGTGTACATTCCTCATCCTTTCCTACTAACTGGCAATTATTTTCGTTTAGTATCGCACGATCTCGCCTATCGATTGTACTTGAGAGTATTCTTTTATGAGAGCACGCGAAGAACGTGGCTTATTTTTCACACATTATTTTCAATAATTAGTCGATGGAGTCGGAGTACGTATACTTCGAACGTAAAACTGAAATTTTGAATTAAACATTTCTTCTCTCTGTGTTGCATTCAATTGAATATTATTCAAGTTCAATTCAAAAAAGAAGAAGAAAAAAATATGCAAGAAGCAACGACGACTGCGGGCTAATTCCACGAACGATCACACGCCGTTCGAGAACCATCCCTCGCGTTACGATACTAAACAATCCAATCGGATATAACGAGCGATATTAAATGATAACCAGAGAAAATGTCATTTCGTTTCCATAAATCGCGATGCGTTCTTCAATCGCGCGCTTTCGATCGGATCTTTTATATACAGTTCTAAAAATAACCGGGCAGCGAATGATCGAACAGGAAGATACCCTTGGATCCGATTATAATGTAGCTCCTCTCTTATCTGTATGTTGCTTGTTATCGCGCCTCATAATTATTGAAATATAACATAGAAGCTATAATCAATACAAATGATACTATTAATAATAACATGAATTAAATTTGTGACTTGAATTTTTTCTTACTATTTAATTTTCTTAAATAAATTTTCGTGTAAATCACTATTAAATCATTGGTGTTCGAGATTCTCACGTAATGTAATTAAAAATTGAAGAGGAACTAAATGGTATCTGTTACATACCGTCGCCAAGCATCGCCAGCAATTTTTTATAAACTAATTTTGGAGCGTCGACAGCCCATAAGAAGTCGATGTTCTAAAAATAACCGGCGCAGCGAATGATCGAACAGGAAGACACCCTTGGATCCGATTATAATGTAGCTCCTCTCTTATCTGTATGTTGCTTGTTATCGCGCCTCATAATTATTTAAATATTATGGCAACGTAAATGAGACATAGAAGCTATGATCAATACAAATGACACTATTAATAATAACATGAATTAAATTTGTGACTTGAAATTTTTCTTACTATTTAATTTTCTTAAATAAATTTTCGTGTAAATCACTATTAAATCATTGGTGTTCGAGATTCTCACGTAATGTAATTAAAAATTGAAGAGGAACTAAATGGTATCTGTTACATACCGTCGCCAAGCATCGCCAGCAATTTTTTATAAACTAATTTTGGAGCGTCGACAGCCCATAAGAAGTCGATGTTCTAAAAATAACCGGCGCAGCGAATGATCGAACAGGAAGACACCCTTGGATCCGATTATAATGTAGCTCCTCTCTTATCTGTACGTTGCTTGTTATCGCGCCTCATAATTATTTAAATATTATGGCAACGTAAATGAGACATAGAAGCTATGATCAATACAAATGACACTATTAATAATAACATGAATTAAATTTGTGACTTGAAATTTTTCTTACTATTTAATTTTCTTAAATAAATTTTCGTGTAAATCACTATTAAATCATTGGTGTTCGAGATTCTCACGTAATGTAATTAAAAATTGAAGAGGAACTAAATGGTATCTGTTACATACCGTCGCCAAGCATCGCCAACAATTTTTTATAAACTAATTTTGGAGCGTCGACAGCCCATAAGAAGTCGATGTTCTAAAAATAACCGGCGCAGCGAATGATCGAACAGGAAGACACCCTTGGATCCGATTATAATGTAGCTCCTCTCTTATCTGTATGTTGTTCTTGTTATCGCGCCTCATAATTATTGAAAATAAACACTCTATAAATTCCTGCCGGTTGTCCTATTAACGGCCGTGTATCTTCGTACAGTCGCTGACTCAAATAACAATCGCGCGTGCCCGATTAAAATTCACTACCGTTCGATTAATTACGAACGGTACCCCGTATGATAACCATATTATCGAAGCGCGCGGTATGGTTGTCGACAGCGGTGCATAACGAACGACACATGCCTGCGTTATTTATGCCGACATTGTTGTGTAGCGATTTGGTATACGTGATCGGCGGGGGCCCCCCTTTTTGTGACAGCCACGGTGCCCAGCACCGGCCCGAAAATCCTCCATCCCTGGGAGTCGCTGGGTGATTTACACGGTTTCTGACCTGGGAAATCTTGTTGCCGGACAACTTTCTCGATCGCGGTGTGACCTTGACTTTTTCCCGTACTATGAAAATTGTTTTCTCGTTTCGTCAGAAAACCCTGGGGAACGACACGCCGATCTGCAGCGTGGAAATGCACGATCCCCCAACAACGGGAAGCTTGTCGAAATTCGAAATCCGCAACTTTATATCGCGCTCGTATGATACGTAAGAAATTCTGGTTGCGATTTAGAACGCATAGGAACGTGGCCGTACCGATTAATACGATTTAGACGGCTGTAAACTGTGCGTAGAAATATACATATAAGCGATCGAGCGTTCGTTCGAATATCTTCACGATAAATCTGCGCCGGAGTCAAAGGATTTCTTCGTGCGATAATTATATAATATTATATAATTATATTATTATTATTATATATATATTATTATATCAACGATATTCATAGTTACCGACGAAATATTATATAAATAATATAATTATAATATTATATTATTAATAATATATATATATATAATAATAATATAATATTATAATTATATTATTTATATAATATTTCGTCGGTAACTATGAATATCGTTGATATAATAATATATATATATATATAATAATAATAATATAATTATTAATTAATTATAATATTATAT